TGCGAGCATAAGGCATAGATCCTTATTGTAGTGATAAAACTCCTGACTTGCACTTGGGGCTTCGCTCTAGTTGATTAAAATTTTCGGCTAGATTACTCAAAAAATAATAAATTAATAAAACTTATATGAGACCAGAGATGGTCTCGCCGGCAAAAGGAATTGTAAATATTATTTATTCATTTTTAGCCTCTTAAACAAAAAAAAACCATTTTTCAGATTCTTTTGTTCCCCTTTTTCTTTTTTCCCATCCATACCGTAACCCACCCCTTACCCTCCATGGGATTTTCATAAATGCAAAAGCCAGAGCTGACATGTAGTTTTGTAAAATGATTAGTGTGTTTTTATATCCGGTAACTACAGCTGAATACAGTGGTAGTAAACATGGCGGGACACCTCCTCTTAGGGGAAGGACCAATCTCCCCTACATAACTCCTGGTTTTCTTCACTCTGGGTCTTTTTTGGGAATTCGTCAGATACACGTCTGGGGCTTCGATCCGGAACTCCCTTCAATACACCCGACTCGACGTCCAAAATTTACTACAAGTCATCTGTCTCTTTGGACGGCCCCGGTCGTCTAAACAGTTCGTCCCCCACCAATTTTACCGGTCCTCGGTGAGGTCTTTTTAATTTTAATGTTGTTTATTTTTCTAGTCAAATTTAGATAAATTCAACATCATAAAAACCACGCTTCGCCCTTCATTTTGCCTAGTCACAACGACCCTGTAATACCTCACAACAACACGTCAAAAACATTTACTCTTATTTAAACATCCAATTCTTTCACTTGGGGTCTTGGTCATCGATCAGGGATAACGTTCGTCACCAGGCTTACGCGATTTGAGCTCATCATCGTGCGTCCTCCCACAGCATCGTCTTGCTAAGCCCACCTCAAGGACACACCGAAGTGGCCTGCTCGTCCACGCAGCCTTATCCCCCTACACTGAACCCATGGCTGTCTTCTTGGATGTCGCCGTACGTAAATCACAAAAATTCTTTATTTTGCTCCTAGCACTTTTAACACATAAACGAATGCACGTCGGTCCACCGCACTTTTACTGTAGTGTACAAGAATGAGTCCAGAAATATACAGCACAACCGAACACTGTGCGAAAAAATAAGGTCATAAATCGTCTGCTTACATGGTTACACGATCATTTCGGTGATAATTAGTATGCTGGTGCGTGATGTAGTAGAAAACTTCAGGACTTTTTAGATTGGAATTTGCATAGCTTCGGGCGCAAACAGATTTTTATGCGTTTTTGCATATAAGCAAATGCGAAAACGCATATTGTGATGACCAGTGGTGTGTGGAATGTGTGTGTGTGTGTGTGGAATGTGTGTGTGTGGAATGTGTGTGTGTGTGTGTGTGTGTGTGTGTGTGTGTGTGTGCGTGCGTGTGTGTGTGCGCTGTGGAGGAGGAATTGCTTTGTTGGTTCCTCAGGTCGCTTTGTCCCACAACAAATAATTGTATTACTTGTTCGTGTCCTCAAGTATCCAGTGTGTGCTCGTTAGGTATTTGTACTGCCAGCAAATATTGCTAAATTTCCATGAGCTTGGTCGACCTGCAGACAGCATGAATACCACCAAGCGTCGATTTTTGGGTCAGCTAACTTCATTCCGCAGGCCCATCGTCGTGTCGTCGGTTACCTCAAATTTGGGCTATTAAACCTTTAAAATGTAGACAATACACGCGGCACGAACGAACAAACGTCGGATATATGTGCGTATGTAACATGTATCAAAAAATATTACAAGAAAAGACAAGCACCGCCCCGTCGCTTCAAAGTCCGTAGTTTTTGTCCGTCCGTCGTTGTGTCCGCCACCCGTCGTTATCGAAAATAGTCGAAATGATAATAAAAAGAGGAGGTTTCGGTATGCGTCGTCGAAACATCTGGACGTTGTTGATCCGGCAGCTTCCATTATTGGGAGGCAAGTGCAGGAGGACAGTGCCGCGCGGAAGGAATTGAAACATAAAAAAGAATATTTATCAAAATAGAAGATAGCTGAAAAATTACATATTTTATGCAGTTTATTGCAATTCGAGACAGCATTCTCGACAGTGTGTGTGTCAGGGTATTTCAACTCGGCGCCCAAGCAAGAAATCTACACGAAAAGCAAGCATTTGCTCATACATATATGTTAACATGTAAACGTACTCACATACAAACAAACAGACCAACATTCACATATAAGGATATGCATGCATGCATATTTTAAATATGTGCATACGTGCGAAAATGATTCAA